TACAGCTATCCTCCATTGCAAAGCCTGGCCTAGCCATTCAGTTCCCGACCAGGGTGAGTCGAACACGAAAGCCGGAGCTCACTACTTCTGATGAGTCTTAATACCGCAATCGGGGTTTCTTCTCATTCAGTGGCATGCAAGGGATCACCACGATTGCCTAAACATTCCCTTTAACAAGTGTGTGAATGAGAGGATTTCCGAACATGCGCGACGAGGGTTCACTTGGACCTCATTGGCGATCAACCGTGATTGTAAGCTATGTACTTTGCCCCAGCTGCACATCATTGCGTGTTTCCAATGGAATGGTGGTCGTTTTGGATTGATTGCGTCTACCTCCTCTCGGATCGGTAGGATTGCCTCTGCAACAACCGAGCCGTTAGAGAGTCTTGGAATCAGGCTGCCCCAAACTGCTGCGGTCGCTGCTTCAGCCCGATCCACATCGAGGCCGACTGCATGCATTGATCAGGGGAGTCTGATCCTAGAACAATGGTGGAAGATGACACATCATCCAGTGCCAGCACAATGGTTACAACTGATCACCCTCACCACCTCACTTCGCGATGAGGGGGGAGCGACACTCATTACTCGTTTTTCGTTTGTGTGTGCGTCGCTCTCTGATGCGGATTTGGGTGTGGTGAAACGAAACTTGATGGATGTCACTGACCTGGCCCACTGGCTTTCCGCCAAGGTTTTCATTCTGCTGTGCGCTTGTATGGATGATGATGTCGTCAAAGGACTTCAAGCAAATTGCATTTCCCTGGATGCTGATCTCGTGGTGTGTGCAGGGCTCCAGACTGGAACAGTGCAGGAACGGATTCGACAATTTTAGTTCACAGTTTGCTCGTGCTGCGAAGGACAGATCAGCCCATGAAGCGCTAGATACGAGCATCGATTTTACTAGTGTCAACGTGTCCCTAGTCTGCCCCGGTGCAGCGGGTCATCAGTCGTTGACCATAGACCGAGTGGCTGCTGAGAATCGGGCGACTCGCCCGATGCAGATCAACAATCGGAGCAGCTCGGCCCGTTTGGAATGGGTGCATTCCCTTGTGTGGGCGGCGGTGTTTGGCGAGGAGTGCAGTGCCACCAACACCGACGTGGACTATACCTCAAATCCGTGAAGAGGTTATACGAGGAAAAGTCCCGCAGCTGGCAGCCCGCAGGTCGCCCTCAAGAACATTGAAGCCCTGCCCAGCCTTAAGAAGCTGGCAAAGGCTTGGGGAAGACCCAGCCTGGTGACAGCCGTGGCCGTGAGAAAGGGCTTGTTCTGGTGTCGGACAGTACGACCATGTTCAAGGGCGGTCGCAGGACGACGGACATTGCTGCTATGCGTGCACCGAGTCAGCTAATCTGCCAGTGTCCACACGTGTGCCGATCTGGGGAGGCACGCTGCCGGCGTTGGTGCGTGGTCGGACAAACAGGCCAAAAAGTCAAAGGAGCTGGAAACCCACGTGGCAATAGTCTGGATGAGTTAGTCGGCACGATAGACCCAAAACCCTCTCAACCGAGATCTCCCCGAAAAGGGACTGGAAGCCTCCGGCCTCTGGAGTGACGTAGACGTCGAGCCGCCCTCCAGCAGAAGCCAGTGTGCAGCTCATGTCGGGCGCCGACCCCGACTACTCCCTCTCTATGCAGTATCGTGAGGCGATTCGGATGTTCTTGGCATATGCTCGACTCTACACCAGCTCTCTTGAGGAAGTGGTTGGTGCTAACCCGAAATATGACTGTTACCGCTCCGGAGGGGATAGCACCTGCCGGTCGACGCTGGCGTGTGTTCTGGTCCAACGGATTCGTCTGATTAGCGCAGAGCGTATCTTCAGCAAGATCCCAGAACGCTTTCTTGACAGGCTGATCGAGTCGTTTCCGTACGACCCGCCGTACACTTTCGACAAAGCACTTCTGCGTTCCAGAACTCCCGCTGCCTTCAAAGGCAGGCCGAGATTCTCGAGGCCGCAGATGCCCGGACCCGTGAAAGTCCTCCTACATTGCTTTCTCCGAAGTCGAAGTGACGGGGCCGAAGCCGCGACCCCGCCCAGCATCAGCTGTGTCTTCCAGCTCTGGACCTACTGCAACGTTCGATGATGATCATGGCAGCTATACCAAAGTCGGCTACAGCAGTTGCAGCAGTTGCAGCCCCCTCTGAGAAAGGCCGGACTTTGCCAGCGCAGGAGGACCTCGTCAAAATGATCGGAATGATTAATGAGGTGTGAGGACGACCAGGACCTCAATGAGATGATCGGCTCACATGGTTCTGTCCCGCTGACCCTGAAGGCGACAACATGGCTATCGTGAACTGCGAGGACATTCCCAAAGAGCACCTCGCAAATTCGAGCCGTAGCATTGATCAGCAAAGTCGAGCCGTAACATTGATTACGTTGAGCGTTGGCTGACTGGGTTTGTCCGTGGCGCAAAGTTCAACATGCAGACGAGGGAAGCAAAAAAGCAGTGCTGGCTTGGAGCCAGAAAGATTCTCAGGATCGTGGCCTACGACCACTGAGGCGGCTTCCAGCCTCGCCGGGCCCGCCAGTGATCTGCGCAACGAGTTCATCAACACCGGCATCTATCCCAGGAGGATCGGTGCTGCCCATAACTCTAAAATCGCTGACCAGATCACAAACTCTTCGGTCGCCGCCCATGGTACCCCAATGAGGCGCAGGAGGACCTGGGAGACACAGCAGCGTATGAAGGCAAGCCGTTCTTATGCTGCGGGGAGTTCCCGCCACGTCTCTATCGCCGCGCAACTCATGATGCTGCCTTCGCCATCTTGCAGAGCAGCCTCACCCCTGGGTATGGAGAGTCTGGCAAACTTCACGACCGCTTTGCCAAGGCCACCCTGGACGAACTTCGTGAGCAAGCCTGAGTTCGAGCCAACCTTAACACTGAAGTTGTTCTGTCGACTGAAGAAGTCCTGGAGCATGCTTGGTTGTTTGGCGTGTTGACGCGAGACCCTGCGCCCGGTACTTGCGTCATCTATATATTCGTGACGCCGCTAAGAATGAGACTCTTTGGTCTCCGAAGGCGAGCTGGAGATTGTCGCTGTTGATGTCCCCATCAAGTTCGAAGCGGAATCGGAGGAAGAAACTTTCCCCAAGCTGCTGAACCGGATCACTCCAGCTCCGGACGCTTTTCATCCAGCCCCACTTAGTGGAGGCCTTGAGGCTGATGAGCCGATGCGAAGCAGCAGCCGCGGACTGAAGTCGCTCGACAGTGCAGCATTGGAGAAGGCAAGCAGATGCTCAAACTGGCGCAGGAAGAGGGCTACGATTCCATTGTGGTTCGTTTTGATAACGATGTCGAGTACACCGTGCGCAGCATCGCCAACGGCTACGATCGAAAGTTCTTGAGAATCGACGAGGTTCTCGTTAAGGGCACACTCCCGAACGTCGGCCGTACTAAAAACTAAAGGCCTCTCGGTACAGGCGCTCATGGTTCAGGGGGGTGGACAAGGCCCGTTCGCAGTGAGTCTATTCTGCCCACTTGCTGTACATTCATGATTGTAATCCAGCCGCCATTAGGGCAGGCCGTCTCGGCACTATCGCTGATGATCCCCTTGTCATCATGTGGTTGGGTGCCGCATACAGTATCGCTGAATTTGTCGGGGTTTTCTTCCTCCAACACAAACTTGTGGACAGGGTCCTCACATTCACCGAGACGCTGTATGTCGATCCCAATTTGGGATACAGCTCCGAGGACTGCGTTCAGTGGTTTCAAGGCAGATTCTGCATGCAGCTTCAGCCAGCCATCCGTGCACATGAGGATGAGCAGCAGAACGCTGACGTCGCTCACATTGCACAGGCTGAGCAAAGCTCAGCATTGCGTTTTCCGACACCTTATTTCCGTGGAAGCTCTATGGAACCGATTTCGCTGCAATGCAGCAACTCCGATTGCATCGCCATGTGGATGGAGTAACCGTCCCGCGATAAATTCTTTCTTTGGTGTAGCGTGCATCCACGCCAGACTCCTAATCCCCGTTTGCTGGATCGCTACTTTTATAATGGCATGTTCGCGACTTTAAATTCCGCGACAAATTAATTCATCTGTGATTGCATCTTCCGCTTTGCAGTTACAGTGAGCTTTCGAGCCAAGCAGCAGTCCAGCCGCCTGTATGGCAGGCCGTACATGGGGATGACATCATGCGCGCTTCCGCCTCAGCTGACGCCTTGGCCAGGGGGGGTAGATTATGCCCGTGTAAACTTTCATCCTTCATGTACATGACCGCTGCGCAAGTGCTCTAAAGGAAAGAGTAGACCACAGTGCAATGGTTTACAGCTCCTCGACCACTTAACGGTATTACGTATATATATATATATACACACACTGCGTGTGAGCAATGGTTTCCCCAAGCCATCTGAGCTGATCGGCTGATTGGCCAATCGGCTGATCGACTGCTGATCGACTGATTGACGGACTTTGGGCCCCAAAGCCACGCACACTGCAAAACCTATGTTGACGGAATGGCCTAAGGGGTCGCATGGAACGAAAGTGCGCGTATGCAATCATTTTCGTTGCACGGACTGCGGCTCATTTCCGCTTTGTGTTCGGAGGTGCTTTGGGAACCCTCAGTTCAATGCAAATATTGAGCACCATGACTTCAGCAAACACTTCAATCGTCCGACACCCTGAATCGCAAACCTGGTGCTAAAATTCGTCATATCTACAAAAAGATTGGTTCACAGCATGTTCAGGGCGTTGGCTGGTTGTGTGAAAAAATCAACGAGCCGACAGCTTGCATGTGCAGAATACAGGATTCCAGAGGTCAGGGGTTTTGAAGCCCCCGACACATGAACACTTCGGGTTTACAGTTCGTGCACGCATTTCACCGTATGTTCAACGGCACGAAGACCGCAAGGGACACCGGCTGAATTCAGTGTGAGATCTCCCTGCAGGAGATAATTATGTTGCGGTGCAGTTGTTTCGGGATCCATGCACACAGGACCCATGCACATGGCAACAAAATCCGCCAAGTCTGCTTTGTGAGTCCAGAAAGAAGTACGCTGCGAGCAATGCAAAACTGGCAGGTGGTTCTTCTCATGTGGCCTGTCGAAGTGCGTCAGTTGAGCCCGCTTTCGAGGGTAACTAGACTTTTGTCGGCCAAATGGGCAGGTACGCTTGTGCGTTGCGAGTTTTCTTCCATGGACTGAGCTTGTGGCCGACTCGTGTCTGCGGCACACGCATGGCATTGGCTTTGTTTGGAAGTTGCTGCTTCATGCTGCTTCACTGGCTTTGCCAGTTGCCATTCTTGGCGAACGCTGGAGATGGAAGACGCACTCTGGCAGGCGCTAGAATCCGAGAGAATCTGATGGAATCCAGGATGCTCCGAGTAGTTAGTGGAACGAGTAGAGAGCACCAGCCGAGAAGGTGTACTTTGCATCAACTTGGCCTAGGATGGCCAGGCGCAAGAAGGACGGTAACTCCATGAAGAGCCAGTCATCGCCGCACTTGTCCTTTGCGAGGCTGCAGCCGGTGACCAAGGCTTGCCTTGGCGGGCCCTCTTTCGTGCTCAGTGGTCAAAAGGTGGCAATCGTCAGGTGCCTCAAAGAAGTTTGCAACTTCAATCGCATGCATTCTCGCCTTCGCTGATGCCAGGAGGATGCCCTCGAGGCAGAGCGGCCCTGCGCTGTAAGTGCTTTGATTTCTCGCGTCAGCGCCTCATGTTCTGCAGGAGGATTGGCTGGACTTCAGTGCTGTCGGAATCCGAGCTGCTACTCCTATGCCTTCCATGCGTAGCTGAAGCGTTATCTTCCGTGGTGCAGCGGCGTAATTCATGGTTTTGTTGGGTTGGGATATCGAATCCCGATCACGATTTCACAGCTACACTCCTGTCATCTGTACCACCACCATGCATTTCGACATTGCGAAGCTTGACAAGATGTCAACATTTCATGGGAATAAACGTGACGGAGCCGCAGCTTTAAGGTTGAAGTCAACCAAGCTGTTGCAGGGCCGCGCGATTCCTGATGTCGAAGATCCTCCTCTTCCTGCTGCTCATCATCATTACAATCACGACTAGTTACCACCACCCTCCTCCTCCTCCTCCTCCTCCTCCTCCTCCCCAGCAGCATCACCACCACCACCACCATCATCATCATCATCATCACCACCACCATCATCATCATCATCATTTTATAATCATCTTCATCATCATCCTCCTCCTCCTCGTCATAACTTTCCTCATCATTGTCATTCTCATCCTCATCCTCATCACCACATGTGTGCACCATATACCGGTAGATGTAGATACAAAGTTAGTCATGGATATAGATACAGACATATACATGCTACCCTACCAAAACCCCTCGTCTAACCGCAAGAGCACTATCATAGCCAATCAACCACTGACCTGCAAGCTGTTACGAAATGTCGCTCCTTTGCAGCTTGCGGAGTTGTTGCGCGCGCACTTGTTTTGAGCGGGTCCTAACTCCCCCAACTTATTGCGTTGATAAATCATGGAGATCGCTGTCTCGAAGGGCCCTCCCTTGTTGTACTTTGACCGTCCATGTGACCACTACTGCATCCTTATCAGAGTGAGCTATACCGTTATCATATCTCTGGACAGCTGCCACAATTGTGCCATGGCAAAACCTCTTACAGGACTGCTTCTGCAGGGGGAATGACCCAAATTCAATCCTAGTCGCCATTGTAGCCCGATCTCCGTTCAAACCGTGATGAGTCTGCAGGCCCGTAGCAAACGATTTTCAATTCAACAGGACTCCAATGTATTGCAATGACATGTAGTTTCTTTTTTGTCTGGCCCTTATCGAACTCGTGATGCACTATACCAGTAACAAACATAGTTACTTAGTTTCTCATTTCGGTTTACGTTTACTCAGATCTGATCCTGCTCAAATTCCTTTACGACACCCCTACTGAACGGCGTCTTGTATTTCCTATCGAATGTGGTGGCAGGATCCTTGCAAGATTTGACCCTGAATTGTTCAAGTCCTACTAAGTTTAAACTTTAAGCAGAGTATTGTTGAATTCCTCAGTGTGGTTTTGGCATCCCTATCAAATGTGATGTGACCTATGTACGGACCTCGTCAAGTCAAAGGGAACTTCTATCTTCCGATGTTAAAACTACCTGCCCTTGTTAAAGATAAGCTTTCATCAACTTCCACAGGAAACAGTTTCCGACTACATTTCCTGTGAAATGTCTGCTTTCTTTATTCATCATATACCTAACACGTTTCGCGCGTAATGGGAACCCTAAGCAATTCCTGTGAAGCATCATGATCTTGCTTACATTCTGAGTAAAGTTTTATATTTATTTATGTTTAAGAAATGTTGATTGCTGCCTTTGAAACGTACCACGATCCCTATTCACGTCCATCAAACTCAACAGCGCCCTTATTGAACCGTTGCAGATGCTGCAGCACCGCTGCACAGTACTCTCCAAGTGTTCATGCAAAATAGAGAAACCAGATCTTACTTCATTCGATCTCAGTATAAATACTGAATTCATTGAATATGCTGAAACCACGACCAGAGATAAAGGATCAGAGACGCTCCGGAAAATTTTTGCCTGGCATCTCTGATCTCTGATCCCAGGCTGGGTTTCAGTGTGAACACTGACCTATACTGAATTATGCTGAAACCCAGCTGGAACCCAATACGGACTAAGCTCTGTGCACACGTACGGTCTCCGATGCAGTTATGTACAGTTGGAGGTAGTTCGTTTTGGGTGGTGCGCATATATATATATATATATATATTAACACATTTAAATAGTATCTATATATATACACATATACATATCATAGGTATTATTTCAAAGAAGTCTTGTGAACACATGAGCATAAACATGCCTTGATCTGGCAGGAACAAGTAGTTCGGCAACGACCATCCTGGCAATTGAAAGCTTGATTTTTTGGATATGCAATCAGGGCAGTGCTCAGCAATGTCAGCTTTATTTCGTCTTGCGGGCGGCCACCAGCCGGGGCATTCCAGATACTGTTGTGGTGTTTGTACGCCGTAGGTGTGAAGTAATGGTGCTGTTGCATCAGCAGACAGTATGACACTCGGTTTGCCGTGTGCTGTTGGATTGCTCCTTTGGTGGATATCTCAGAACTTGGTTGTTGGAGTCCTTCCGTGCTTCTGGTACAAGGAGTACGAGAGAGCCGCAAGCGGGGAGAACCTCGAATCCAAACAGAGGAATCCACAAAGAAGCATGCGGACGGCTTGGCCGGCAGACCGGTTGGTCTATTGTTGAGGAAGGGGTTCTGAGTTCATGCAACAAGGGGACGTGCATGTGCAAGAGATATGAACCATATGTGAAACGCCCTAGTGAGGGAACGCTGAGAGCCGAGCTGCAGCCACGGCCCAGATCAAATCAGCGTAGTGTCCCACTTCTACGCGTTTCGTGAGTTCGTGCATTGGTAACTGGGGGCATACTCCTGCAGTTTTCTTCATTGGCCGACCCCCACTGCCCTCAGGCTCAAGGTCTGGAGGCGCGAGTCGCGTCACAGAGGCCGCTAACAGAGGTTGACGGTTGCATGATGTTGCATGGCTTGAGCTCGCTTGAGAAGGCCTCCGGTGCTCGCTTGGCCAGAGAAATTGCAGCGTGCAATACAACGGTGCCGAGAGGTCCAAACTCACTTGTAGAGCTCCGCTGCGGCGAGCAGCATGATTCGATGCAGGACCTGCAAAGACGAAGCGTGAAAGCTCTGTGCTCAGTGCACAGAATGGATGAAGTTTGCTGGCACGACACCTTCCACAGTTAGATGCCGTGCGAGGCAGCAGCTTCTTGACTAGATCGCACCTAAGCCTTGCCCACCCCAACCCTTCCCTCCCAGATCTTAGTCCAACAACAACTTTCGCAACTGTGCAAAATCCTGGTTGCACCGCGTAACCATCCAGTCCATCACGTAGTTTTTTCACCAGGATATAAGGATCGCATTAAGTTTGCTCAGTCAGCTCGTAGAGGACATTTCCAGGATACTAGCTGGAGCAGGTCACAGAATCGATATTACCCTTGCTTCAGGAACACTTCGAGGAAGAACACACTACCTACATATACACCCAGAAAATAGCCTACAATTTGAGACTGTGCCGACGAGCTCCCTCGCTCTGCTTATAAGACACACAAGTCTTGGATGCGCATGGCAAACCTAAAAAGCTTTGCACGCATCAGTGGATTGCACGTGCATAGCAGCAGGTGAGAAGGCATGCCCTTTTCCTACTTTCCGTGCCCTTGCTACACTCTATGTCTATGTCTCCCGCCGCTGCCCCCCTTTCGACGGACGATGGCCGTTGCGATCGTTTGGAGTTCAAGTTCTCAAATATCTGGCCGAGAGAGCGGGTTACCTCGTCGGCGATCCATGGCAGAGTGGCATCTGCCAGCGAGACTGCAATCTACACCTGCGACAGGAAGCAACCATGTAGACTTCCGACGGTGGAGGTCTTACAGCCTCGAAACGAAACGACTGGGGTGACAAGCTCGAAACCCCCAGGCTTTGGAAGGGGTTGGAGGTAGCAAACGATAAAGGCGCAGGTGTGAAAGGAAGGCTTCGTACAAATACTGTACGGCTGCTTCTGGGTGCATGTTGACAGGGAAGGCCAGATTTGGGCATTCTCTTCAAAGCAGGCCTTGAGTTCCATGGCATGTGATCCTGCTGAGATCAGCCAAGGTTGAGAGTCTCGCAAGCAAGGGTTCATCGTATCGAGCAGGTTCGTTTCAAACACAGAATTGTCTGTTTCTAGAGTCTGAAGAATGAAGGCAAAAGCCTCCGTGGTGCACGCATGCTTTGTGCTTGATGCCCTAAGCCAAAGCGAGATCATCGTCCTTAGTCGGAGGCGATTTTTGTTCACGCATCGTAGTGCCCCGCCTGCTGACACAATCATGCTGTCGAAGTTGCCGTGCTCAGTAGCATGCACTACCCCACTGGCACAAAAGCACGATGCTCCCTTGATGAGTTGAAGTTCCTTTCATGATCGTCGTCTTCCAGAACATGTTGATGGGTACACCATCTGGCACACGTTGAGGAGTGTGTAGCGGTATATATCTGGTCACCACTGAGAATGATGCTTCGTGAGTCATGCTCTGAGCCTTTGCTCACTGTACACATAAACACATTGCCTCGCTGCCCGTTCTCAGGCCAAAGGCAGGAGGTATCCGTTGAGTGCGTTGTGCGCGTCCAAATATGTTCCTTTTCGCGCGGCGCTAAGGTTCCTGCTGAACCTGATGCATCCCATACATGCACGCAGCATTGCAGGTCTTGTTGCTGAGTGGAAGTGAGCACGTTTTGGAAAGGGGTTATGGTGTTTTTGGAAGAATCCCTGTCACCATGACGCAGGTTTCATCCTCTTCTGTTCGAGGATGCCGATGCTTTCCTCTGTGAGGTGCAGCCTGGTAATGCAGAAGTGACGTTGCTCGAATGCGCATGTGGCAGGAGAGTGGGGCCTTACATGTTTGCGAGAATGTACCTTGCTCGTGCTGCGTGCCTTGGCAAGACTCGATCGTCTCTGTGCAGACCCCCAACTATTTCTTAGGCAATGGCTTCAAACGCTTCGCGGGTCCCAGCATGTGTGAAGCATTCAGCTGAGCGGCTGGCCTGACGGTATCTGACGGTAACAACTCAGGTGGCTTCTTCCGAAGGCTTCTTGGTCTGTCCGGTGAGCGGCCGTTGCTTCCCCAAGAATAGCACAGTCAACGAAGAGGCTCAGAATGACCCGTTTTACGTCCAAATCAGTTCTGCGACCCGATTTTCCGTGCAGATAATGGATGCTCCCGTTTCTTATGATTGGGTTTGGATCTTAGACAGTCGTGAGTGTGCAATTGTGGTTCAAAGTTGCTTCTGCCGTGGATCGCGCGCTAGGATCCTGATCTAAGTGCTGCGCAACAAGTTGGCCGCTGGTTCGAACAAGGACACTGTTGAGCTTCAGAGTCAAATTGCAAGGTATTCTGCATGCGATGCTGGGAGGTTACTTCATGAGCGAAGAGCAGGCGCTTGCGATCTTTGATGGCTGTTCCGGGGCAGGCCAGGCCTTTGTCCGAGCAGCTTGATTTCACGCTCTGCGCTCTGCCCTTCCCCTCGCTCTTTGCCAGATTGCAAGGCCGGCGGGCTGTGAGACGCCGCTCTGACGCTCTGCTGCGCTCTTCCTCTACAAGTGCATTTTAGCGGACACTTCGAGGTCCAAATCTCAAAAACAAGACACAACACACGGATTTCGGAAGGCCCTACCGTTACCGTCTACGGAGGTGTGTAGGAGTGTTGGGGTGCAGGCTATCTTCCGAGCGTTAAGAGAGCAGGCCAACACGACCTGAACAAGTGCTCATGATTCTCTGAAGATCGGATGGCCGAAGCTCGTGTGTAATGATGTGTAGTGGTGAGACGACTTGCCAATAGAAGTTGCATCTGTTCCACGTGCGAGTGAGCTGCTTGACGAGACGTACAGCAGAATTTCAGTTCTGCCCCAGCCATGCCCATGCCAGAAAAAGATGGAGCGAAATTTTGGTTTCATCTATTGCGCGATCAAAATCGAGTCACCTGAATTTTTCCCGTGAATAGCCGGCATAAGGTGATAAATGAAGACGGCAGGTTGCATCTGCGTTACATCTGTGTAAGATACTTTGCAGCTCCATTTCCTGGCTTGGAAGTAGAACATAGCATCTGAAGCAAGGTTCATACACCTAGGCCTTCTGGGTTGCACGGCAAATCATCGCACCAATGGGGCTGACGTACTCCTCGCTGCCCGTCTCCACAGGCTCTTGTGTTGCGGGTTGGGAAGGTCCCGTCAGAGCTGCTTCGAGCAGGCTTGGGAAGAATAAGCCAGGCCGGTCCCGTCATGCACTGAAGTTAAGTTGAAGGGGCTTGCATGGGAGCACTTTTGCACCTCTGCTTGCAGCTACTTTGCCAGCCGCCGGAGACTGCTTCGTTGAACAGAGTCCCACAACGTCAACTACGCGCTAAGGGATTGTGCCGTTTCGACCGTGCAATTCCGAATCGAGGTGCGGTTCACGGCTTTCGCCTCGCGCCAGAGCACTCGTCTGTCAAAAGATAAGCATAATGTACAGAGACTACACGTGCGATATCACAAACAAGCAGGTGCCCGACTCGGTATCCCGAACTGCTTCGTTGGTCAAGCAAAACGGCGACGGAAAGCGACTGGTTTCTTCCGTGTTGACTTTTTTTCTTGCTTTGCCAATTGTTTGCGGCCCGACACAAAGCGCTCTGTGCTTTGTGGATCAGGGGCAGGACTTCCAAGGCATCCGGCTGGTGCTCAGGCAGCAGTACTTGCTCCTCAGCTGCATGGCTTCGAAAGTGGTGAAGTCGGCAGCAGATTCGCTTTCCCCGCTGAAGGCCAACAGCCGGATGCTCGCAAGGCCCTGGTTCGACATCCAGGCCGTCGCGAGGTCCGCAGTCTACAGGCACTCAGGCAGCCGGGTCGGCAGTTCTGGTCGGATGCCAGCCCGAAACTTGGCCCGCGGTCGCGCGTGCCGTCTTCCCGTGCCGTGCAGATACTGGTTGCAAGTGCCAAGGTGCAAGTTCGGACGGCAGCGCTTGAAGCGGGCGGTGGGTCTTTCGCTCGCTGCAGATGCACAGCAGGAGGTGACTCTGCCATCGCTACTCAGGAACTGCACTTAAGGCGCAGTCGGCGAGGCAGCTGAATGGCTGAATCGCTTTCTGGTATTGCGCAAGAATGGAGCAGGCCATCGCCATCGACCGTGAAAGACGCAGAAGGCCTGAGTCGCACAGCAGGTTTGCGTTTTTTGGTGGGTGCGGGCACCCCGCTTCATTGCATAGCAAAGTCACGCTGCTCGCAGACTTTGACAGCAGTGATGTGCTGCCTGGATCTGAGCTCGAAGCAATGATGAGTGAACTCCGCACGCTGGAGGCTGGGGTAATCTGGGGGAAGGAATTGCAAGACAGACCTTTCCGATCGTTTGAAGCCAGGCTTCGCGGGGATCCGAGGGCTCCGAGGACTCTGAGGACTCCAAAAGTAGGAGCCATACACAAGATGGCCGATTGCAGCTCTCTGATTTCCAATTTGGCAAGCATCTCGAGTATCTTCTTCTCCTTGCTTGCAAGTCCCTCGTCATCCTGAACCCGCTGTTACTCACAGGGCGTGCCCCTTCTTGTGCCTGCTGAAACCATGACATCTTGATCGCTACACTAGAATGCTCAATACCTCGACACTTGTGGCCTAAGTTCAGTCGAAGTTGCAGAAATTCGCTGAGACGATCCTTCTGATCGTGGCGATACCAGAGCTCGTGCTCCGGAAAGGGACATCGAACGCAGCAGTATGAACAGGCAGCAACTACTTCACAAAGGAGGCAACTGTTCGATGATGCGGAGAGCCGATGAGCAAATGGGAGTAAGCTACTTTTTTCTGCCGACAGAGTCGAAGGCAGCAGCAAGAAACAAGGCCGCACTAACAAGTGCTACGCCAAAGGAGTCACTGCATGCTCTTTGGGTACTTATGACTTATAACTCTACTTGATCTCTGCTTACTAAGTCCCCCGACTCTCCAAGCAATCGGTGTTAAAGTTACAGCAGCTGGGCAGAGCACGCAGGGTACGTGCTACCTGACAGCCTGCATGCACGGTGGCAAATTGAAAAATGACCTGTGCCAAAGCTCTCGTTGCCGAAAGCCCCACAGGGCATTGCTCCTCCTCCTGCGAAGCACCTCCAGCTGCACCTCCAGCGAAGGCTAAGGCTAAGCCTCGAACACGACGGCGAGGCCGAGCAGCTCGCAATGCAAGGGCCGATGCAAGACGAAGGCAGACGGTGTAAGGGAATCAAGAGAATATCCGTCTTGCCACTGATGCCTCTGAGCTCAACGAGCAGCAGATCCGTCTGAGTGTTAGATCAACCAATAGGTTGGAACTCCAGACGGCTGCCATCTGCCAGGCAATTGAATATGCTACCGAATATCTCGATGAAAGACAGGCGGAACTCGATGACCGAAACCAGGAACACCTGTGGGTAGAAGAGTTTCCGGAAACGCTCCTGACCTTGAAGGACATCTTACATGAAGGAGCTGAGATAACAGACGATCGCACAGCAGTGTGGCCTCTGTCGAGATATATACAGGTCCTCACTCAGTATGAGGGCATACTTGCGGATGCAGACCGCAGGGCTATGGCATTCAAGGACGAATGTCACCAACACCAAAATATACTAGCGAGGGCCAACCAATTGGTGGCACTTCTCAGAACAGCCCATGATGCCATCAACCAACAGGTTGTGGCAAGCTCACAGCTTCACCGTCAGCTGGACGAGTGCCAGGACATCCTAAGTAAATTCTTTGAATGTCTCCTCAGAAGAGGAAGAACCTCCACCATGGGTCGAACATCCTAGGGAAACCCAGATACACACGCATACTGGACAACCGTCACAACGCTGCCCTAGAGGCCAGCAGTGGTGATGAGACAGAAAGAGGCTAACAGCTCACAAGCTGCGCCAGCTAAGGCAAAAATCAGTGCAAGCCAAAGCGCCTGCTCCTCCACATGAGGAAGTCACTCAAAGCGATCTTGAGTTTCTCAGAGCAAGAACATTCCGAAGAAGAGGATTACGGGGACATTGTGGGTTCTGTCAGATCCTTACGAGCCGCGTTCAATCTGGTTTGTAGCTCACTACAGGCCTGAGAAGTTCCGACAGGAACACCGTGTCAAGCTCTAACAAGAGCAGAGACACTTTGCATGAATCAATCTTGAGCTCCTACTAGGACCCGATCTGTACAGACCATCTCTCCAAAAGACTCAACCGATCGCAAGGCGACTAAAAGGAACCGAAAAGCTGTCAAGCTGTTTCTTGTAACTTTCGACGCGGACACTCTTAACAAGGAGTTGTCTAAAGATCTCACCCTACAGAAGACCCTCTGGGCCAATCGAGTTTGTGGGGCTGGGGTTGGCTATCTTGGCGGGCAGAGCCCCAAAGGGCGGCACTAAGGCGGTTCAGCACCCTCCCCCCTGCTGCCCGCAGTCCCTCCATGGGGCGACAGTGACATGTCTGCTCTTTCTCTTCTCTTTTTCATTTCCTTTCCCTTTACCAGCCTCCAATCTTGCTTCTATGCGGCTGGTTGCTTTCGAATCTCGACCTGACGCTCTTGCGTTGTCGTTGTGGCCGTCAGTGCTTCCTGCATCCGTTGGCGGCATGGTTTGGGCTGCTCTCTTTTGGGCCCTTTCGCTACCCTTGTGTGGCCGTTCTCCTCGTACGGCTTGTTGTCTCCGAAGTGCGGCTGACCGGCTGACATCCTACACGCTGATTTCCTCTGCTATGGCTGTCTAGCCGGCGTTGGTGGCGATATGCCAGTCTCTCCTTGACCTGGCGTCGGTGCGTGTCGCGGCTTTTCTGGCTACGTGCCGGCCGCCTTCCTTCATCTTCCTTCTGCCTGGCCGTTTCTCCTGATTTCTCCCAAGCTCCTGCCCCTTCACTTGCGCTTGCGGCCTGGCGGCGGTTTCTTCTGGCTGTGTGCCAGCCGCCTTCTAGCGTGTTCGCCGGCTCAACGAAGCATTGCAATTCGAGAATAGTGGTCGTGAAGTGACACCGTCTACGATTCATGTGCATTGTTGAAGGTGGAACGGGCTCCCACCCCATCAGCCAGTCACAACGCCATGTTACGCCTTCGGTGACCCTGGCCCATTGTTTTTTGTCAGGACCGCGTCGTGGTGGCTGAGGCAGATGATGCAGCGGCAATGGAGCCTGCCAAATTCTCGGAAATCCGTTTACGGATCCTGTTGGATGCAGCGGGGTGATCCTACTCAGGTCGATGTCACTCAACTTGAGCGCAGTGGCCAGATTGCTGTTCTGGGTGTTCCAAACTCTGGAAAATCCTCCTTGGTCAACGCGCTCGTGGGCGCGAAGGCAAAGTGACTCACGGCTGGCAGTGGATCCTCGTACTGTGCTTCCTTGAAGGTGTCCATTGTCTCGCCGAAGCCGCAGACAACGCGGCAAAGAATTTTGGGCACGAGACTCAACTCACACAGGTCTTGCTGGACTCCATGCACCATCCATCCTAGTCTGGGTCCTTTGTTTGTTCCAAGAAGGCCTGGCTTTGCTTGCTCCAACTGTTGACTCCGCACCAACAACCCAGGCAGGTGCCGAGGGATGGAACAATCGGTTCTTGTCGACCCGTTCTGCAGGCTGTCTTTGCTGACACAGCTGGCATAATGGAGGTCGGTGAGTCTGTTTCGGAGTTTGCTTTCAGGCAGGGGTGACACGATGCAGACAAGAAGACCTCTTCGGCGTGAAGCAACCGCGCTTGTATTGACAGACACAAGCGAAAACGCTTGTTTCGGCAAACGAGGCTCCACAAGGCACGGGAACCCGCAGAAATTGCCAAGCACGTGGCCTGACCTCCTGAGGCAATGGTGAAAACAGCATGGAAACAAACCAGAGTGTGGGCCCAAAACATGGGTGCTTGATGTCGATCATGCGCAGTGTCACTTCAGGCATCCGATGCATTATTTTGGGTGTTGGATGCCTCAAAATGCCTGGCATACGGCGATTACATGCCTGCCTGCAAGAGTCTGAGCTTGTCGTTCTGATGCAAGCTGGACTGGATATTCCTCAGCTCTCGTGAGGGCAAACTGGCTGTAGGTGCAGAGCTGGACGGCGTGTCAATTGGGCCAGCAGTGGAGGACTCCTGGTGCCGTGTCAGCACCTAGCGAACCTAGCCGCTAGCCGGGAATCCGACTAGCCAGTCTTCTAGCCTTGGAGGTGGCTACATCCTGAGCTCGCAGAAGAGCTCTCATTCTTGAGAAGGCTGCGACGCCTGAATGCAAAGGCCGGGGGCAAAGCATGCAGAGCAGAGCAGAAGCTGGCAACCCACACGGCACGGAGTAGATCTGAGCATCTCGTTGGTTGAGAACTTTCGATTTCCGGTAGCCGAGCTTCCTCACTGATCTATTCAGGTTCAGGCACCGCCTCTGCCTTCTCTATTGTAGCCTTGTAGCATGCGAATTAGATCACCAACGGCTACGGAGCTGATGATATTCTGGAGGTGAACGTGGTACTCAACAAGGTCGACTTGCTTCGGGACATGCACGTCGATGTAGAAGCTTTTGTGTCGCAAATGAAGGCTCTGAGCTCAGTTGAGTCACATCTACCAGAAGTCGCAGAGCGTGTGCCAAACTCCATGATGTGGCCTTGCGTCAGGATGTGCTCCTTCGAGACTTGGGTGTCGATGCGAACGATGAGGCCGCTAGCATTCTCGAATGCTGATGGGAGACGGTTATCGTGCAGTGGTTCTAGGCATGGCTCACTACCGTACACGCATGTTTTACAGTACGGTCGTGGTCGTGAGCTTCAGTGAAACAACTAACATTGCACATTTGTGCTTAGCTTTCTGACCTGACATGCTGCCAATGTTCGGGGCTCGCCTGCAGGAGATCAGATGAGCAGACCAGAGTAATAATCCCTAACCGTGAAAGAAACGCGACGCAAAAAGGAAGCGTATCGTCGTAGGATCATCCGAAACATAATGCGACCAATGAGACTGCAGAAGGATGTTGGGAACGTGCGGAGAATCCTGCAAAGAGAATGTCATGAAATGTCGAATTCAGACTGAACCTGTGCATCCTCAACCTGCGAAGACACGCAATGACACGCATACATTTGACAAGTCTTCCTGCCTTCTGACCTTTGCTCTAGACCCGATTTAAAGGACTAAGAGGTCATGTCCACTGCGACCAGCAGTGTCTTTCACTTGTTTGTTCAAGGCAGGTCCGTGCAGAAGCGTGCAATCACAATCGTGGGCTGTCTAGGAGGGAAGCAGCCAGGGTTCAGGCCTGAGATGGTAGGATGGAGCACCCGAATCCCGCATCTCGAGGTGTTGCTGCAGAACCTGTGGCCGACCTCAGTACTCAAGGATCCCGAATCTCTTGATCCAATAAAATTGTCCTGCTCTCAGAAGGAAACTTGACAGACTACCAGGCCGAGGACCAGGAACAGGTTCAATTTGCGAAGTGAGGTGGCTTTGCGAGAACCTTCCCAAGCAAAGGCCGGACCACTGCAGGGGTAGCTTTGATGAGTTTTCTTTCCCGTCAACCTCCTGCTGTGAAAGCCTGGTGCACCGGCCAGTCCAATTTACCCCGTGGAGAGCCTCAGCGACGTTCCCGCACGAGTAGCAGCTTCTGAGATCACGAGGGAGAAGTTGTCCTTCCGCCTGTATTATGTGCCGTTCCATTCGGGCACAACTTTTGGTGCCAGAATACTCCTCTGTGGCAGGTTCAATGTTCTGAGGGAAGAAGTTCCGTACCAAATAGCAGTTCTCGTCTCAGCCGGTGCCTGGCATTCTGCATAGACAGTTGAGATAGTGGGAGGTATTCCCACTGCGACTCGTGAAGTAGGCATGTGTGGTCGAGGTCACCAACGTGGTTTGGCAAGAGGAAGCGGATGGCATGCTTCGACTTGGCCAGAGAGTTCTCAGCACAGTTGTGCCAACGCAGAGTCGCGATATATGCCTTTGCTGGATGCACTCCAGCTGGGCCGAAACGCATGTTGCTACTGTTGAGGTTATTGTCAACAATGAGGGGCAAGTCAAAATAGTTCGAGCTTGGCTTAGCCCTCAGGAATGAAGAACCCACGTTGATGTACATGAGCAATGCATAAGTTATAAGTGAAATCATAGCTTGAGGCTAAGACAGGTGACCGAAGAAGCTGAAGCTGAAATTTCGGAGATCGTGAATTTGGGCAGGCTTGGCTGACTGATCATGCCGCTGTCATCCCGTGCATCTTGGTGCTGCTGCAGGCCAGTGGAGCTCCACTTCCAGATTCAGGCATGGCCCATGGCTCTTCTTCTCCCATCATTGACGTCCATATCTCGAACGAGGTGGATCCAAAGTGGCAGGAAAAGGAAGATTATTATCAGGACCTCCAAGGTCTGCTAGACCGGAGCGGTTCCCTTCTTTTCCCACAATAGAGATTGGCTCTGGATCCGGCCACGTGTCTCGCGGCACTGCGGAAACAGAATCGTCGGAGTCGGCAACGCCCGGCAACATGTGAGGGTCTTCGAGTTCTTGGGTTGCGACATGCGTATATGTGTAAGGCTGTGAAGGCCTTGCCATCCGACGGATCTTCGGAGAATGCCGAACAGGAAACTGATGGATTTTGTGACATTCTATTGCCAAGGGTGCACGCTGTCTAAATTCCACATGACTGCGCGGGCACCTGCTGGTGTAAGGCCCAAACTGCATGTTTTAATTCGCTGGCCGCCATTCACCAAGAGTGAAGCATGGCCTTAAATTCTGTCCTTGGCCAAGCGCTCTCTAGAAACAAGGCGCGGAGAAACACACGATGCCCGAGCGTTAAAGTGCGAAGTGTCTGCACCAACAGGCGTTTGAGAAGGTGGACCTGTGGAAAGAGCGCGAGATTCAGGCGAAGTCTTGCAACCAATCCGATTCAAACCGGCGTTGTTGTAGTTACATGGTTTTGAAGTGACAGGACAAAGGTAGCCGATGCACCATTTCGTTGAAAAGCCGAAAGGGTGACGTTGTCTGCACCTCAAGCAGAGATCTGGCAGACGTCGAAAGCAGCCAATTCCTGCTCAAGGTCCGCCAAGTTACCAAGGTTCCTGAAGGTGCTGAGGCCGGAAAAGACGATCCTGAGGTCTGTTTAGCCTCTGGCAGTCACGTCCTTCGTCCTTGCAGGTGACGAGCAATGTGGTGAACCAGTTTGAGACAGAACAGTCCCGAGACTTCGCAGACTTCAATGTATGGCCGGTTGGCATTTGCTTCTTGACTTGCGAGCGAGGATAGAGAAGAGAATGCAGCCAAGAAGGAGGTGTCTGCTGTTGATTTCGAGATTACGTAAAGGTGTCCTTTCTCAGTCCGTTTGAAGGATGAACTGTTGGCCCGACTCGCCAACGGCAAGGCGCTTCCGACTTCGGAGCCGCGCATTTGACGTGCTGAAAATTGCAGGATCCAGCTTGGCGTCCTGACCAATACCTCTCCCAACTCAAGGGCAAGGACCAGACTCCATATCGTTACCGGATGTTACTTGCATTTCTTGCAATCACGTTGACCCTGCAGGGGACTTCGAAACTGAAGCTGCGACCTGATTTCTTGCGTATGGACCCTGCGTTCTTGCAGAAGGTGCCTTCTTGGCATGCCGAGCCTTGACCTTGCAACCTCCGTGTTCCCTTGCAAGGTCGTTGCAGAGTACAAGGCTCAGAAAAAGGCTGCGAAGAAGAAGAAAAAGAAGAAAAAACAAAAGAAGGAGAAAAAGGCAGGAAAGAAGGACAAGAAGGATAAGCAGCTTGGAAAGACAGCAAAGAAGGAGAAGAAACGCAGCAAAGCCGGAGAAGCAAGCCACGATGACGTGCCGGGCGAAGAAGTAAAGAAGGAGCGTCACGAAGTGAAGGAAAAACGTAGAAAGCGAATCATGCTCGATGACGCTGGTCAGCCTACTGGGAAAGAAGAGCTTGAGGTGCTCGAGGCCGCTTTGATCCGCCTTGCTGAATCTGCATTATTCTGTCGCTCGCAGTGTCGGCACTTGTCGCACAGGTCAGAAGCAAAATCACTGTGAGCCGAAAGCACGCCACACGGGATGTCGAAGCTGACACAATGGACGAGGTTGTGGTCCCATGCTGGCACCTAGGCGACAGTCCTTGTTGTGCTCTGCAGGTCTCTGTGGCTGAAGCCAGGGCCTCTGAGATTGCGTCAAAACTCCGTCAGAAGGCCGTTTGCCATATCTCTGCCTTTCTCTCAGACTGGCATGCTGAGCAGGTCCAGGCAAGTTGGAACACGTCCCAAGCCTCGCCGAGCACCGGTGGATGTCATAGCGAGATGGTGTTGACTGACAACTGGTAGTTTGCGATGATCTCCGTGTTGAAGCACTGAAGACTGAAGGCGGTAGCTCAGAGTCATCGAGCTCAGACAACGACATGGAGGAATGCCCGAGTGACGAGGTAGAAGAGGACGGCGACCTCTTTGGCTTACAGTGGAATCGTCGCTTCAGTTCCTGCAGGACAGCAACACTGAGTGACTCCAGTGAAGGACAGCTGGAACCTTCTGTGCCGCTGGTCCCTTTGCTCTACTGTCTGGCTCAGAGAAAAATGGTCTCGGGCGGAAAGACTCGTAGCATGCAGTTGTGGTGTGGAGAGTCGCAAGTCACGGATCACATCGAGTGACTTTCACATAAGCAGCTGTTCTCTTGCCTAGGGTGCGGCTGATGCGAGTGCAATCGCAATCTTGTGAACATGGGCGCTGGTACTTCCCACGGTGAAAAGTCTTCACAAATGTCTTCACCCACAGCAACGTAACAAAGACGGTATGCAATGTTTGGGGGGAAGGCACTGAGGCTTCCTCGCGTATCAATGCGCCTGTAAGTGTTCCACATGATTTTGATTCCATTTCACCAGCGGGTCCAGACTAGTGGCGCCAGCTTCAGCTTCAAACGTTAACTACTGGAAGGCAAGAAGTCTAGCAAAGCCAAAAGCAAGTGCCGACGGCCGAACTGCGATGCCGCAAGGGCTGCTGCAAGCACGATGGCGCGGCATCGGAGCAGCGCCTCCTACGCAGCCACCCGAAAGACTCTCAAGGACTCGGACTGAGACGGCAGGGCCGGCGCAATCGTCAGCCGGGCAGCCAAGCAAGGGTGGGCAAAGTGGTGCACGGCGATGATTTTCCAGTTTTTCTCCTTGGTTGTCGTGTTTGACAAGGTCATGACGGAGCCCTGCTCAGACAAGGCCATAAAGCCAACAGCTAACATGTCAAAGGGGAAGCAGAAGAAGACGAAAGAATCGGAGGCGACTTGCAGATGTTGATCCATCGTGACATTCCCAACAGTTCGTGCAGTTGTGCCGCTGGGATTGTGCCATAAACTAACGAGGTCAAGACTGAGCGAAGTGGTCATGAAAAGAAGAGCAAAGGGATTCTGTCGCAGCTGGACAAGGCTGCCTTGTGAGTTGATGCTTTACTTTCTCGGGCGAGCTGTGATTTTGGATCCTCACGTAGACAATGGTTAATTTGCGGTGCCCACGTGAAGGCACGCGCCAAACGAGCGAGGCAAAAGCGCCGGAAGACGGCGCGGGAAAATGCCAGAACAAAGGACCCCGAAGCAGGGAGCCCAGCTGAAGCTGAAAGAATGTCCTCCCTTTTGACTCGGCAGCTCCAGGAGCAGGAGCTGCGGAGCTGAAACAGGAAGCGCACAAGTGCTGTGACTGACAACCCTTCACTCTGAGGAAGCATCGTCGTATTTAGCGGCGTGGAAGGCGCACCAGGCGTACCTCGAGACAGTGATACGCATGGAAGAGCAAGTCGCTGGTGCGTGAGGATTTGGGAACCGCTTGGCGGTTCAACAAAGCCACCCAGGCTGGGTCACCGATAGAAATTCGCTGCAAGTAGCATGGGCCAGAGGAGGGAGAGGCCATGGCCATTATTGCCGCAGCAGGCTTGGCTGCTCCGTCACGCATACGAACCAGAGCTGGTTCCCAAAAAGGTTTTCCAGCTCCTGCTGAGGCGTTTGCAGTCTCTGAAGTTTAGCCTTTGTCGGTGTATTTCATTCTCAGATACCTGGCTGGCTTAAGTGGTGCCGCTCGTGATCGTGCTGTGGCAGAAGCAGGCTCGAGCCATTCCAAACCTCAAGAACTCGCGATTTCCCGAGCCTGTTGCCACATGTTGCCAGGTGCTCTTGTGACTTTGCAAGGCGCCGAAGTGCCCAAGGCCGGCCAACTTGGGCAAAGCCCGTAAGAAGCCTTCTTGATTCTTTGAGCGGTCGGAGTCGTCGGAGTCGTCGGAGTCCAATCATGGATGAAGGGCTTGCTTGGAGGCGCGCTCGGGCTTCCAAGGATTCCACCTGGCAGCATGCATACGGAAAGGTCGAGCTTGCAATGCTTACGTATCGATCGCAGCAGACGGCTCGCTCATACTTTAATTTGATGCTTTGAGAATCATCGTGCACATTGCGCTTATCCTCTATCTATTGAATCTATTGGTCGTTTCACTACATCTCTGCCTGTCTCTCTTCTCGCACCCCCCTTGCCTATCTGCCTGCCTGCCTGCTCACCTACGTGCCACCTACCCACCTACCTGCCCACCCCTACCAACCTACCTCCATTACTTACCTACTAGTACTTCCCTGCCTGCCTACCGAGCTACCTACCTAGCTAGCTACCTAGCT